AAAAAAGTCAGAATTCTGAGATTAAATTCAGAATTCTGAGATTAAAGTCAGAATTCTGAGAAAAAAAGTCAGAATTCTGAGATTAAATTCAGAATTCTGAGATTAAAGTCAGAATTCTGAGAAAAAAAGTCAGAATTCTGAGATTAAAGTCAGAATTCTGAGATTAAAGTCAGAATTCTGAGAAAAAAAGTCAGAATTCTGAGATTAAATTCAGAATTCAGAGAATAAAGTCAGAATTCTGAGATTTAAGTCAGGATTCTGACTTTTCTAATATTATACTGAAATAAAATGTAAAAATCAGTTACCTTTTTTATTTATTTTTTTGTTAGTTGCCCTTATCCTCTTCCATACAACCTTTACATGTGCATAGTGAGATTTTTTTTACCCACCCTTATTTGCGGAAAAGCTCAAACACAGGCAAATTTGATGAAATGTCTCTTAGGCTAAATCTTGCCACTGACTTTTTTTTTTTTTTTAGATAATATTCAATATTTAAAAAATGCACTTTTATCCAAACCACTCCATTGTAGCTCAGGCTGTTTATTGTTTTCCTGTTGGAAGGTGAACCTCATCTAAAGTGTTTTGCAGCTTCTAACAGATTGTCTCCCTGTACTGCCCTATTTTAATATCTATCAAGCTAGACTGTAATCCCTGCTCTAGTGAAGTGTCCCCCATCCTAGTGGTGCCACTACCGTGCTTTATTGTTTTGCCATTTTGGAATTTATTTAGGGGTATCTGAGTGGAGGGGGATACAAATGCAGGCCACAACTTTCTGATTTTTATATATATTTAAAAAAAAAATGGTGAAGTGTCTTTTGTGACACAATATGGAACATGTTTCAATTCTGTGTAATAAGATTATTTGTGAGAAAGGAGTGATTATGTTGTTTTTTGGTTTTGCCTCCAAGCTTCCTGTGTGGAGATGCATCCAGCAGAAAACCAGGGCACCTAACTACGCCACAGGAGCCCAGCTGTTTACTTCTCAAACATCTTCGGGGGTTACACCACTTAAGCCATCGTTCAGCAGTAGATGTCGGAGCATCGGGCCTATGACCTGGGTGCCGTCGCGTCTGCACTCAGATTCCTCGGAAAAAGGAGACGGCAGCAGCGGCTTCAGCATAAGGGCCCTCACACAGGCGCCCAAACCGGCTCTGTACCTTGGATTCTCTGGCCTCATCCCGTTTCTCTCCGCCCCGCTGGTCATGGCCGCCACCCAGTCCTTCTACCCTGAAGTAGCCTATGCCCAGATGGTGTACGGAGCCTCTATAGTTTCCTTCCTCGGAGGCGCCCGCTGGGGTTTCGCCATCCCTGCTGGGAGCCCCGCCAAGCCAGATTGGATGAACTTGGGAAACAGCGTGGTGCCATCACTCCTGGCTTGGCTGGCGCTGCTCTGCAGGGAGAATATTACAGAAGGAACCCTGGTAGTTCTAATGGGGCTGGGTCTGTCGCTGCATTACGACCTGACCCTACTGCCAGGCTACCCCAACTGGTTCAGAGCCATGAGAACTGTCCTCACCCTGGTCGCCACCTTCTCACTTGTTGCCACATTGGTACTAAAAAAAGTCTGTGCAGAAAGGAAACTCAAAGAGGTGAAGAAATGATTTATAGTTTTGGAATAAAAACATTAGAATTTCCATTAAATCTCAAAATCACACTTTTCTTTGGTCAATATTATTTAAAAACCGAAACCCCGACATTTAATTGTATTTAAACAAAGAAAAACAGAAATTCTTACCATGTGTCTACTAAACATTTCCACTCAGAATTATTCTTACAACAAATGTAATGGTAAAGGACGTTTTAAGTGCAGATAAAGACATTCTCTGTATCTATAACAGTTTAATACATTTACAGTTTCAGAAAGATGCGGCCGTGTCACAAACTTTTACGTACATTTTATTTTAAAATTGCCGTAACAAGTTCTTGTAAAAGTATGCATTGAACCTGCTGTATTTTTGGAATCAATCAAAACGTAGTGGTGCTGCATTATGAAGTGGAAGAAAAACTATACATTGGTTAAAAATGTTTTTTTATTTTTAAATAAATCTGAAAAGTGCGGTGTGCATTCGTCTT